AAGATTTATTTACGTAAACAGCCCACCTGAGCAACTAAAAGGTTTTAGAGTGGTGTCATATCATAGATGCTGACAGATATAGGTAGAATGATAGACGAGACACACATGGTCTTATCTTCACCAGCCCACTGTGCTTCATTTTACCTAAGTGATAATAAAATCCACCCGCACTTTGTCCAGTCAGGAAAGGTTGAACCAGGCACAGCTGGGCTGTGTTTAAGCCACTTAACACTTTGTTCCATTTTCAAACAACTATTGTCTCAACTGACATGAAGTTTGGTTCAGACACAGTGGACCCAAGAGGATCAATCTACCTACTTATTCCACCCACTCCTCTGAGTGTGTGTGGAAAGTGTATCTCTTGAACTGTTCATCTAACCGACTTCACACACAATTAAGAGACAGAAATGTTTGTCTGGGGGAGGGGGCGTCAGCGTGCCTTAAAGGGATAATTCACCGAAAAATGGAAATTCACTCATCATTTACCCACCACTATGCCGATGGAGGGGTGGGTGAAGCGTTTGAGTCCACATAACACTTTTGGTGTTTCAGGGGTAAACGTTGTTGCAGCAGAATCCAATACAATTGAAATCAATGGTGACCTGTTCTTCAGACGTAATAAAAGAACACGAGCAGGATTGAGGCATGTTATGTTTTTTCTGTTGTTTTATTATGTGTTTGTTGCTAAAGTACAGTGCTTTTATTTTGAAAAGTTGTGAAATTGCTTCTGAAAATTGTGTTGATTGCTTAACAGACCTGCAAAATAGCCAACATACCACGTATGTAAATATAATAGCAGTTAAGTTAATCATTCAAACATATATAAAATTGACTATTAAATCTTCACTGCAGATAAACCAGGTGTGATAAACACAAAGTTTTCAAACTTCACTCTTTGCAAAAACCACCATTCCAAACAGGCAGGTTCAGAACCGGCATTGCATCCTACTTCTTATAATTGTTTGTATCCTGTAACTTTAAATTTAATACCTCATGGATGTATTGGAATTTGTTTTTAACCGAACTTTGGTTTATGACCAAATATAGCACCTGCAAACATAACAGTGGCATTACATCAAGGTGTACAATCGTTCCCTTCACACTTGTGCTCACTTTACACTGTACCACTTAATATTTACACTAATCAGAAGTATACAGACACATACAAACACACACACAGACACACACCTCGAGGAAACTCTGGTATACGTAACACAATACAATGCTAAAAGCTCATGTAAATCACAACCATCTCATCCTATGCTAAATGGTTAATATTTATTCAAGAGCAATTTTAGTTAACAGGGACAGAGAGTCAATTTTATTTATTGTTTCAGTTGTGTGTGGCTTATTTCATTTATATTTCATTTATTTAGATATTTAAAAAATGTTTTCATTCTAATTCAAATGTCAGACTAAATATATTCTTAAGAATTTAGTTCATTGCCCTTTAACAGATTGTAGTTGTTAGATTTTGCTATTAATATCAGTGGTATAAAATTGTTTGAAAGTGATAACAATAATATAATTTAGGCCTGCCTCAATTTTTTAAACAATGCACCAAGTTAAAGGTTTCTTTGCACAGTTAGACATATCCAAGCAAATATGGTATTGTACAAAGACATATCCCTGACTGAATCGAGAATCAAATCAAGACCTTGTGGATCGGAAACGAATCGATTGGGAAATCAGTGGAGATACCCAGCCCTAGTTTGTTGTGTTTTTGTAGTGCTAAAAAGTGCAGTAAAAAATTATGTACCAGTGCAACCTATATAAAAAGTCAGTCTGGAGCCCTGGTGTGATATATCTGTTTATAATAAACTATAATTTAGTATGGCCCTCGAAGGATGTAATATAAATTAAAACAGCCCTTGATAGAAAAAAGGTACTGACAAGACAGTTACAGTGCTAATACATCAAGATGGCAAACACAAATTTTGCGTAGATATCTATGCATTAAACTACTCACTGAACAGTCAGCTTTGGCTCCTTCTTTCCAGCATTTTTCTGTTGCCAGCTGAGGTTTTGTCTAAAGAAGACGATATCAAGCAAGTTAACAAAAGGCTTTGTATTCTGTAAAGCCATTGGCAATGCTGCTGCTCACTGCGATCACCTCACTCAGTCACAGTGAACAGGGCCGACTCAGGCCAAAGGTGACATAGAACACCTCTATGGCCTAGGCCTCGGAAAGTCAGGGCGCTGCTGGAAACCATTAACATAATTATTGTACTAACAACATTATCAACAAAGACAGCCTTTTAATTACAATAATTTTGCAGCCCTTAACTGTCAGTCAGTTGACACTGTGCACTGCTGTGGGGATAATGGTCGCAATGTGATGAACAATTGTGCTTCACTCAGCCCAAGATCGAGGGGTTAGCTTGGATCAGTTGCTGGGAAAGTACATATTACATAGATATTTTAACAAAGAGGTCCAAAGACTCAGGTGAAGAGACAAAGAAAGGACAATATGTACTGTATGACTTATGTTACTATGTAGTAATACAGATAATGCTTTTGTAGCTGCATGGAGGCAGAGCTGGTTTAAACTATATAATCAGATATATTGAAGTGGAGTTCTTCTATGTAAAGTGCCATGACATGATGTATATTATGATTTGGCGCTATACAAATAAAATTGAATTGAAAGTACCACTGCTTGAAATTTAACACAACAATATTTAAGTAAATCCCCATAACTACACAAATAACAGCAAATAGCTACAGTAGGACACTTGCTTCTTTCTTGAATCTAAGGCATGAAAGACATGTCCAGCCATTGTTCCTCTGTAGAAAGGAACTGGTAATGAGCCACTACCGGTAGGATAATGTGATTGGGTTTGTAGGGGGAGGGGGCAACAAATCCGAATCTCACCTATAGGCAACTGAAATGTCTAGAGCTGGTCCACACTGTGAATGACAGAATGCCCATAAACTGATTGAATCGAAGAGGCCTCTTATTCAACAAAGAAGCAAGCTGAACTCTGCCATGGTCATTTTGTGTCACATATGAAATAAAGTAAACACACCTATTGTGGGGGGTATAATTAAAGCAAAATACAGCCTGATCTTCCACCATACATGTTGCTGTGTTGCCGTATCTATAGAGAGGAAGTCTGGGACTGGTGCCTACTCTTTGCTTCTAATAGAAAAGGGAAGACTCGTGCATGCATGCAAAGATGTTTAAATTTTTAAATGTGCAGAGACTGCTTTGACTTCAGGGACCCTCTGCACTGCAGGGGATGCAGGGGGAGGTCTTTGTTCCCCTAATTAGTGTTTGAGAAGTCAATGGTTTCAGAGGATAAACTGCACTACTAAATTTAAAAATGGTATCAAATATATAACAGAAGATCTCACAACAACAAGGCCAGTTTGTTGACATGTCAATGATTTGGTATTTGGGTGATTTGAACAACATACTGAACAAACGACTCATGCTAACACACACGATCTTCATGGTTTTCTACCACTATCATATTTTATATTTACCGTATCACTTTTACTTTTCTCTGCTTTGTGTCATTATTTGATCATCATCTGATCAATGTAATCTTGACTCATTGTGATATGACACTGAAAGGAAAATGAGAGTAATCTGCTTCTTTAAGACAGTAATCTTCAAACCTTTATTTTTAACTGTTGAATGTTTGTGAATTTCTGTTCACAGTTATTAAAGGTGCAGTGTGTAGAATTCAGTGACATTTAGAGGTGAAGTTGCATGTTTCAGCTGAATACACCTCAACCCCCCATGAGTGGAGTTCAAATTCCTGTTAAAATTCCTGTTAACATGTATCAATGCTTTGGTTTTATTCATGATTTCTGATCTATTGGTCTCTGTGGCGTTTGACCACGCCACGGGGTTCCCCTCACGACMGCCAGAGACAGACCAGTCCAACCATTGTGGGTTCAGAAACATCTTTTTATTAATTCCCAACAGAACATACCAAACATGTAACTTAACTGTCCAGCACTTTCTGCTGGACCTTCAGCTTCACCCAGTGTTCTCCGTGTTCTTTTTGTGCCTTCTCGAGTCTCAGTGTTCTCAGAGCCTTCCCGGAGTTCTGAGTCTAGTGCGTTCCTGAGCCTTCCCGGAGTTCTCTCGAGGCAGCTCTGCTGCCTCCTTTTAAAGTCTGAGGATCAATCAGCTAACAGCTCTCACCTGTGCTGATTGATCCTCWGTGGTGCAGGTGAAGGTGCTCTCTCCGCCCCTTCACCTCCACAGTCTCATTCCAAATTACACTGAAGACCTCCTCACAGTGCTTTGCATGGAGGTCATGAGGAGCTTTTATTTCCCTTTGCTGTCTTATACTCTGTTTGTCTTAGATATGTTCCTTCCATTCAACTGTGGGTCACAATTGTAATTGATAACTCAGTGTTTGAATGTGTTTTTTATTTCTTCAGGGGAGGATGAGCTGGAACTATCTCCCTATGATGACACATTAATGGATACTCGCATGGCCTCCTTAGTGGCAGGTAAAACACACCCTGCGATATTTGCACACCCATAATGACAATCATTCATGTGGTCTGTCTTATGATTACATGGTTTGAATCAGCATGCATCAGTCATACATGTATGCGTAATGACAGACAGCTCTATAACCGTCCGACCAGGATTACAAATAATGCCCGCTCAAGAAAAGCAGCTCAATTAATCAATATGTATCAATCAATAAATAATGGAAATGAATGACTGAGGGAACTCTGCGCTTTGCATTTTTTTCCCTTTTCTTCGGTCTCATTTTATGGCCTCAGAGTTTCTCCTTGCGCACACAGTCTGCTGGTGTTGCACTCTGTGGACTAGACTAAAGGTCTGCTTTGTTCTGAGGCTGTTACTTTTTAAAATCTTGTTTGTTTTTTTCATTATGGTGGAATTGCTATGCTAGATTTTAACCCTGATTGTTTGTAAAACCCTATCGAGGGTAATTTCTGATTTTAGAACATGCTTCATGGGCCATACTGAATTAATCAAGACAACCACCAAAAGAAAATAGATTTACATGTGGTGGCCACAGAGGGCTGCTCTCTCTTTATCCTTCCTGACTGATTCTTCTGTAGTGTTGTGTTCTGCTAGTGTCCTTGTCACTACTGGTAGCATGAGGCGGAACCTGCAGCCTGATCAGATTGCACAGGTAGTCCAGCTCCTCCAGTAAGGTACATCCATACGTGTGGTCTCAAGAAGGTTTGCTGTGTCTCCCAGCTCAATCTCAAGAGCATGGAGGAGATACCAGGAGACCGGCTGTTTAACAAGGAGAGCTGGACATGGCTGTAGAAGGGCATCAACCCTACAAAATGACCTCCAGGCTACTGGTGTGCATGTTTCTGACCAAACTGGGCCCGACGTCCTCAAGTGGGACCTGTGCTCACAGCCCAGCACCATGCAGCTTGATTGGCATTCACCAGAGAACACCAGAATTGACAGGTCCGCCATTGGCGCCCAGTTCTCTTCACAAATGAGAGGCGGTTCACACTGAGCACATGTGACAAGTGTGAAAGAGTCTGGAGATGCTGTGGTGAACATTATGCTGCCTGTAACATCATCCATGACCGGTTTGGCGGTGGGTCAGTGATGGTCTGGGTAGGTACATCCTTGGAGGGTTGCACAGACATCCAACAGTACCTTGACCGCTGTTAGGTACCGGGAGGAAATCCTCAGAGCGACTGTCTGACCATACACTGGTGCATTGAGCCCTGGGTTCCTCCTGTTGAAGGACAATGCCCGGCTTCATGTGGCCATTGACTGGCCCTCACGTTCCCCTGACCTAAATCCAATTGAGCACCAATGGGGCATTATGTATTGGTGCATCAGACGCTGCCAAGTAGCACCACAGGCTGATAGAAAGCTACCAAGTTTATTATTTTTTATCTTAATTTTGTTATTTTTACACAATTACATAAATGTGAATTTGAAACAGACATTGGCAATGCAAATTCTTTTTTCAACAAATATAAAACTTGAATGCAAATGCCACCTCCTTTATACTTTTCATCTGTTGACAGTGTTGCTTTTTTTTAATACTGCAGGGGTATCGTGTAACCTTAACCCTCTAAGTCAAACATGCTGCATTTACTTAAATGACAATGACAAATGACTGTCCCCATGATGCTTGTCAACAATGACACATGACAGCTATGTGATTTCTTCACCCTGATCATGGTCTGAAAGGCATACAGCCAGAAGGGTCCACCCTGAAGTTTGTATGCAGATGAAATGTACAGCTGTCATGGGATTTATTTATTTATTTCTGAGCTGTTTTTGTGTATTGATGTTACTCAAAGACCATCATCTTTTCCAAAGTTGCCTTTGACAAGTACTTCTGTCCATGATAATCAAGATTCCTTTTTATTTTGCTTCGCTCATTCATTGTTCCAGAAGATATATCCCAAGTATGTGTGCTTGGTATAGTGTTGCGACCAGGTCTGGACCTATAGGGGCTCCTCCCTAGTGTGCGGGGTCAGAACTTGACATCTCAGAGTCACAGCTGGGATATAAATCATTTTACACAGTTTGCAAACGGTGAATTAACCCTTTCTTATTTAAATCCCATTCTTATGGTTATTTCAAATTTGTTTACTGTTGTTAGTTGTTAGACATTTACAGTTAATCTTTTTTGGGTCCAGTGTATTTTATTTTATGGGAGGGTGAGAAACGAAGGATGATGATCATCATTGACATTAAAAGGTTACAGCTCTACAGCTCTGTGCACAATTTTCTTCACACACATACTGTAATTAATCATTTTACATCTAAATATTTCCTCAAACGTCCTTTCTGTCAAAATGTAAAAATCGTACCTATAGGAATGATAGTTTTGGAAAAGCCACTGACACTGTAAATTACTTTTACACGTTCCTTTTTTTCTTCATTTCATAAACTCTGTGTAAAACATATCGTCAAAGTTCAGCCCTGTGACGATTCAAAGATTAGAAGCGTTAAGTGATTCACAACTTTGTTAACATGCAGGTTTCCTAATTTGTTAGTTGCTAATTGAACTCTTCTGCGCTTGCTCAGCCTCATCTTTCACTCAACTGGATGGTGAGAACCATTGTCTGAAGGCAGCACAGGACTGTGGTTTGTACGAGAAGTGTGGCTCCCTGCGATCAGAGTATGTCCTGGCCTGCACCAAGCGGGTACCTGGGTCCAACCGGTGCAACCAGCACAAGTGCCACAGGGCCCTCCGGCGCTTCCTGGAGAGGGTGCCTGAGGAATACAGCCTGGGTGTCCTTTTCTGCCCCTGCACTAACACCCTGTGTGGGGAGAGGAGGAGGAAAACCATTGTACCCTCCTGCTCCTTCCAGGAGATGGAAGGACTGCAACCTAACTGCCTCCATCAGCAGAGTTTCTGTCGCCGAGATGACCTCTGCAGGTGAGACATTATCAGTTATTTTAAATGTTTGAAAGTTCTTTATGACAACATTGTATGAGGCTGTTTCAAATATACTACATATATAGCATAGCAACTGTATATGTTTATATACAAATACATTATACATATACATTAGAATATAAATAAGCAAAATATACATTTTCTATTCTGGTATTTGGTATCCATTTGTTTTTATATGTGCATCAGAGCTTTCTCTCAGGTTGCAGTGGAATCAGAGTGTCGATAAAATTTGGAAATGCACCAAATCAATTTATGAAATTTCAGCTAAATTTACATTTTAAAATGCTGGCAGAAAATCAGCATAAAATGTGCCCTTATGGCTGAACCTGCTCTGGCAAAAAGCTCAGCTACTCTCTGCTCTTGGAACTAATAGCTTACAATTGACACACAAACTGGACAAGTTCAAGCAATTTCTTTGAAAAATATATTTCTACCATCAGCTCCTCTCTCGTGTGAATGTGAATTTTTTTCTGGATTAACTTTGCCATTGTGAATGGATTTGCAGATAATGCACTGCACTGAAACCACACTTTCTCCCTGTTACACAATGCAAATATATTAAATCTTAACAGGCTACAAAAGGCTACTTAGTATTGATCTTGAAATGTGCACCACAGTCCTATGTAAGGGGAAAAGGCCATGGGAACAGTGGGGCCAAAGCAAAAATATGAAGAAGAAGAAAGTGACAAAATACATTCAAATGTGCTAATGCATCCACTGTACCTAAAAACATGGGACTGAAAACCACTGGACCTAAACTTACATAATCGCAAACACACCCCAACATACACTCACATTCACATTTCCTGCCCATTTCTTGTGTTTGATGTTACGTTGCTGTTTGTGTTGTTGCCAGGTCCAGACTGGCTGATTTCCTTAATAACTGCCAGCCATCTCCTCTGACAGCCAGCGGCTGTCTGAAAGACTCAGCAGGCCTCTGCCTCCGAGCATATGCTGGACTCATCGGTACGGAATGCAAGGGGGGGGGGGGATTCGTAGTTGAATTACATAAAGTAGAGGGCTGCATTTTACCTCAAGACAAATCACTTCCAGGAGATAATGTTTTGTCATTAAAAATTTTAATGCAGTGATATCCCAGAAAGTGCTTTGGGAAGTTGAACTATGGATTATAGTAAAAACTGTAAAACATACCATATCCACAGCATATGTATGGAATTTCTTCAAATATGTAAAGAAAAAATTATATTTTACTAAAAGCCAAGATTTCAGAAGAGCCCACTAGTAAAGCAAGATCCAGAGTTACGTAAGGGTACTTCCAGTGTGAGCCATTTGTGATTTGACCGTAACAAGATATGAAAATCTTCCCTCTCTTCATACTCTGCATTATTAAATCATCAAACTACCAAATATCAATATTAAATCCATCTCTGATAGTAGCTACTGTACCACGTAGCTAAACAGTTAAATTCTCGGTTGTATCATTGATGCATCTACAACAGCTACTGTAGGTTTAACAAGCAATTATAAAAGTTTGATTATATAACAGATGAGCTTTTATGTGACCAGTAAAGACCATTTCAAGTTTTCACAAATGTGGATTTTTGATTAATCATTCAAGCAAATTCTTAAAAGGCTAGAGGGCCCTTATGAGGCCTCCCTGGACCCGGGGCCCAGAATAACTGAAGCAACCCTGCATGGAAGATTCTGTTGTCAGTTTGTCTATGATACTTGTTTTTTAAGACATACTGGCAAGCCTGAAGGGAGTGACTGCATTGAAGAGAAATGACAAAGAAGTTGCAGTTAATCATCTTGACAACAAAATTAAAGACTCTTAAACTTACTCTTAACTCTTAGAAAGATTTGATAAAATGCAATTCTCAAAATAAAAGTGGCTGCACAGAAGGCAGTGAGTGGTTAGGAGGAAAGATTGAACAGAATGGGAGAGTAATGGGTTGCAAGTGTGTGGAAAGTGTGATCAGACAGAGCAGAAGTGGAGGAGAAGCAGCAAGATAGAAAACGAAGACCCATGACAGCTGACAAGATATGTGGATCCTGACAATGATAGATGACTTTTCTATTAGACTCAGCTTTTTAAAAGCACAAGCTGCACAATCCACACATTTACACCAGGGTATCCTGCCAGAGATAAACAAATAATGTGTTTGCAGTGCACTGACAAAAACACATCAGGAGTAGTTTTCTATTTTCCCTAAAGAATTCAACTCTTCTAGCGGTTGAATACCAAACTAATATGAAATGAAACTAATGACAGTCCCTGTTCAACCATTTCTTCTATAAATTGTTTATTCTACTGATTTGTAATTGCAAAAACAATTCTGAAGAAACAAAATGCTGACAGTCTGATAAAAAAATTCAATTTCTGATAAATGTGAAAGAATTTCTCCAACAACTTGCAAAAGTTTTAGACTAACATAGTAGTGTGAAATGATAATGTATTTAGCACAATATGCACTTGTAGCAGCCAAAGCATTATTAAACCTTAAAAATGGTTTTACTAAGGCGCTTCAATTTGTGCTTGTGGTTAGGGAAAGTCCCTGTTCTAGACATCATTTGAAGGGAAATGAAGCTTTGCTTGAGGTAAAACCAAAACTACAGAAACCTTTTCTGATTTGTGCCCTAATTGCTCAAAGTTAAAAGCAGTGGATGGGCTGTTCAAGGCTGGCAGCCTTTTTCGGCCATAGCCTCATTTGTCTCCAGCTGTTTTATTTACATTTCTGATTTACCATGTTAAAGAATTGTTGAAATGAAAACGAACATGCAGGTCCTTTGACTTAATTTGACCCTTATAACCTACAGGTACCATCATGACACCCAACTACATCAGTAACAGCTCTGCTGACGTGTCACTGTGGTGCAACTGTGAAGGCAGTGGGAACCAGTGGCAGGACTGTCTGAGACTGCAGCGTATGTTCACCCAAAACACCTGCCTGCGTGAGTCTGTTTAAATTCTATACACAGGTTTCATAAACTTGATTTTGATCAAATTTCAGACAGTTAATCATATTTTTGTTTGCGGTATTGGTGGTATTAATAATTACGGGCAGGATTACCAAATGAACCTCAGGACCCGCTTCTTGATGATTAGCCAAAGTTGTATAAAACTCAATTGAAGACATTTGTTATTTTTGCCAACATTTTTAACATTACCTACACCAATGAGCCACAAACATGACCCCAAAAGATTGAGCAAATAACATTGACATTTCATGGTCTGGTAAATGTTAGACATTAAGTGAAGGGTTGGTTCTTGTAGTCAATGTGTTGTCTGTGGGAGAACTGGGCAGGTGTAAGGATCTGAGCAACTTTGACAAAGGGCCAGTCATTATGGCCAGATGGCCAGGTCTCTGCAAGACAGACTATCCCATATGCTCCGAATTGTAAGGAGGTTTGCTGTGATTCAAGTTGCAGACAATTCAAATGATGGTTAGTGCATCACAGCCACCTCTGTGTGGGGCTTTGTGGCTGCAGGACTGTTAGAAGTGCCTGTGCTGGCCATAATGTTTTTTCTCACAAGTGCATTTTCCCAAAATAAATATGCACATAATGCAATTATTACAAATAACCGATACATGAAACACCTGATGTGAGGTAGTAATGGGTCTCAAAGGGTTATAATTAAATTACTATGAGGTTTCTACTCTGCCCATGGTACTTGATGATTACAAGTACACTTAATCTAAAATGGGTAGTAGGTTAATTGAATCAAAGACATATCCTACAATGCACTGAGACACGTCCTCATTGACAAGGTTATCGGATGTTTTGGGTCTTTCAACATCAAACACTCACCCAGCTAGGGTTGATCTGACCTTGGCTTATAGCTCAGTAACTTGGGCCCACAAATCACCACTGACCTAAAACCATCTGAAGACCCATTTTTCAGCTTCCATGTTGGCCTTGATGGTTTTCTTTTTTTTCGCAGTCCCAGTGATATCGGTTAAAGTGGAAACATTCAAGCCCTAAACAAACTGTGTAGGCCAGACTTTTATACTATAGTGATTAGACCCAGAGTTGTGTCCTACCCAGGGCTGAGCCTAGAGCCCGGGGCTGGGTGGGTGCTGAGTTTAGCCGATGTAGATCTCTATGTTTTGCCCCTAGTTGCTTGTTTTTGTATTAATAAACCTAATTATAAAATAAACATTCCTATGTGTTCCCTAGTTAAGAGAAGCTCCAATTGATCCAGGCACCGCATAAGCTATATGATTACTCCACTTCTGCAGGCTGGACAGTTTACACTACACAATGTCATAGTGTGTCATAGAGCTTCATAAAACATTATAATAATCGGTCAAACAAGTTATTTTACTCTAACTACAGTTAACTAGCCTATATGTGACTAGTTAAATTAAAAATATTTAGGCCCAAAGACTGCAGCAACATCATGCAAAAACGTTTTGAGATTAAATGTGAAAAATCTGAAAATGGTTATCATGTTACATGTACACCGGGCCAGTGTAAACAGGAAGCAGATTGTCTAACCTGAAGTTGGCAACACACAGCTGTGACTGAGCGGTGCTGCTCGTGCAGACAGTGTGGACACTCTTATCTGTTAATATGGAAGCTGAAATGAAAAGCATCGTCAACGTCCCACATGTGAATTCACCGCTGGTTGATGTTCAGTTGCGAAGTGATGACAATTATTCAGGACTAAAGGAAAAGTGTCCAGGGCTACAGCCTTGAATGCCCTAGCCAGGCGATGCCCATGGTCCGAGCATCCTTGGATGCTGCTAATCCGAAGACATCTGGAGCCTTGTCCACAGACAGACTGGATAACTTTCTTCTTTGCAGTTCCAGTGAGTGTAGACCCTGTATAGTGTGCAGTTCTGCAACCCACTTCATGGGGGTTTCTCTGTGCCTTCCATCCTTTTGGCACCGAGTCTTTGACTCCTTTTATTTGCCTCGTCCATACAGAAACTTCAAAATCCATAGGAGGCACCTGTTGTGAAGAGGTTCAAAACGATTTATAAGAGCGAAGTTGTCATGATTTGGTCCATAAACGTACCCTTCTCTCCAAGTCCACTTGCAGCTCCCACTTACACACAGAAGTGAGCAGGCTGACTGCTGATCTCAACACCTTACCACACCTCATTCAGGGTTAGATAGCGACTGTCCTTACCAACTTATCAAAGCAAGCTTGGGGAAAGGCTCTGAACTATGCTTGTTCACTAGCCACCATGCCCACTGAAGGTCTGTGTCCCTGCTATGTCCAGCACTTCCACTTTCCTGCCAGTTTGCACTATAATGCCTGTTCGCACCAAAATGTGAAAATTGAGTTAGAAACTCAGAACCCTTCATAGAGACTTCTGAGTGAGAGATGGAGTTTGCTCCAATACAGTGCTGCACAACTTAAGCCGCACGGCAGACCCAACCATCTGCTGAGGTATCTTCTGATCTTCCTCTGCAGTGTCTCCACTGTCGACATGATTACCTCATGCTCCAGCAGACAGCAGATCGTTACATCCAAGTCTTAAACTTACCTGATAGGCCAGACGTGTCCATTGTGGTGAGGCCAGTCTAAAGCTATATCGTGGTTGCTTGGATTGCTGCTGCACCCCTCAGGCTACAATCAAAGACCTTGAAGAGACTCTGGACTGGTTTCACAGTGATGGATTTGGTTGCAATGTCACAGAAACTGTCTTCTGTCTCCTCAAAACCCTGGAATTATCAGGCTTGAAACTGATCCTTTCCCAGAAATGAGCTAAGAGCCTTATTTTCTCATATTTACTATATATAAAATTACATTCTTGAGTATAAAAATGCAATAGTATTAATTTAAACAGAGAGACTTAATTGTTAAAATATAAAATATTTAAAAGAGATTAGAAAGCGGTTTTGGACTAATAACTATTACAGACTTTTACTGTGGGGTAATTTGCCTGCCCCTAAATCAGTCAAATTTGCTCTTGCTCTCAGTGACCTGAAGCTCATTTTCACAATGACAGTTCACAGTTGTATTTATGAAAGAGCCGTCGTGATGCACCGAAGTGTCATTTATGGTCATGTGACATGACTGTTTTGAACCACATTTCGGAGAAGTGTTTCAAAACAACCGACACAGCTTTGAAACGTCTTGAGCGTACTCAGTATTCGAGCGTCCCATCCCCTTCTCTGGTCTTGTACGATAATTTTCTTCAAAATCCGATCATTTTAAGCTTCTGGTACGATGCTTCAACATTTCCCATGTTATCTATAAACCCTCATTTTATTTGTGCTTGAAGTTTTCTATGAAAATATTCTAATGTAGGAGTCGTTTGGATGAGGTAGTCTTTGTCGTTTGCTGCACCTCTAGGTGTGCAATTATTCACATCACTTAAACCGGCTACCCGAGAACTTCCTAGTCTAATGAAGACATCCGCTTTTAACCCCTCCCAGTACCCTTGTTATCATGATACCCCACAGCAAATAACAGTGCAAACAGTAACAGTGGAAACCACATTAAATAGTCTTTGGTGAATTCTGTCTATCAGATGTGTCCACTACACTACACATTGTTTCTTGTTTCAATGATGGCATGCATTACTGTCTCATGATCCTCCACATGCCATTTCAATCTTAAATCTTAAAAAGCAATTTAGATTAAGAATTGGGGAAATGTTCAAAATGTAAAAAAGTCCCATTTAAAGTCAAGAAAACTATTATTCTCTAAGTTATTGTTTTTATGTAGCCTGTTTTAAAATTTTATCTAAGCACCAGAATTAATGTGTCACCATTAATGATACTTTGAACAACAGCTCAAAGGGAATAATTGAGAAAAAAAAAAGACTTTGCCATGATGTCTGCTGAGTCTTTCTGGGTGGTTGACTCCTGCAGTGATGTTCACAGCTTGAACTGATTTCTACCTCTTATATATCAGCTACATGGTACAGCATAAGCATTCATAAGAGTCTTTGACCCTGTTCATAACTGACAATAGCATGTGTCCTGCTTCATCTGATCCAAAGTGGACAGCTCTTAAGTGAAGGTGTGAATGTGCCCACAATGCATTGAGGATGCATCGAGATCTGATCACACAGACGACAGGAGGTCTGGGCTGTCTTCCTTCTGATTAAAAGCGAAATTCCATTTGGTCTTTGCAATCTTAAATGATGAATGTCTTGAGAGCGAGGAAGTGAAAAAAGTAATCACTCAACGCACACATTTGGAGATGCATTCCAATGCCAGGTGCCGTACTCAAAACTGCCAGGTATGAACAGGGTTTTACAGTCCGTGTCTGTATCAGAAGGCTTCTACAGGGCGGAGAGGTGTGACGTGAGACGCCAGAGGCTAAAGACCTCTTGCTGCCACTCAGTCCCAACAACTGTCAATCAAGCTGTCAATAGACACCGAGCCTGTTATGTCCAAACACTAAAGTCTGGATCGATGCATCAATGCACTTCCCATAAAGCTCTGTGATTCATCAAACTGCCGACAGCTCGAACAATAAAGCTGCCAAATAGATATGAAGGTTCACGCCCATCCAGCTTCACAGCAGTCCAGCTGAGCAGGCACACACACGCACTGGCAGTGACGATGCTGTGTCTCTATGCAGGTAATTCTATCAGTTGGATGGGGAGCCCTGGCTCCCTGCCTGCAGACATCACCCCCCCTCCTGCTCCCAGGCCCTCCCCACTGGATCAGGAGGACGAGCTGCTGAGCAACAACCACCTGCCTGAACACAACAATGTCGTGAGTACACTTCTATCACAAACATTACCCCTATATATCTTGGTGGAAGTCACGAAGGTGTTGCAAGTACATAAGTTAACGCACTACCACGATGAGAACCTTTGCAATTGCTAGTTATTTTGCAGTTAAATCATTTTCACCATTTAAAAAACTGTCTTTCTCTGAGGATCATGAAGGACCGACAGACAGTCAAACATTGCAGTCTCTACAGACACGTTGCGATTGTGGCTACATCAAATTTTCTAAGAAACCAATTACATCTACAAATGTTTCACAAAGATACTCAATTTACTGCATTTTTTTACTATGAGAGAAGTACGAGTATATTCAGTCCAGTTCAATTTTATTTATACAGTGCTAAATCACAACATTTATTTGTTAAAATACAGTATTTTAAAGCACTTTACATAGTAAGGCTGAGACCTTACACTATTAAGATATAAAGATTAAGTCTAAAAGAAGGAATTCAGCAACAAAGAATCAATGCAGTCCGGGTTTGTAAAGTTCAGACACTATTGGTCTCAAATAGGGAAATATTGTTTTTATTCAATGCTTTAAGGAGCACTTTTATTTATTATTTAGTCAATAAAGTAATTAACATGTAGAAATGCAATATAAGGGTCAGTTTACTTTCAAGGATTTCTTCTGAAGGCCTGAGATATATAACTGACATGAAGATTGTAGTATATAAATATTAATAGGGAATGAGTGTGTAAAATCAATTCATAGTTTCAAGGAAACTGGAAGGCTGTTACTGTGAAGAAGCTACAGGAAGCACTGAGAATATTATATATACTAATAGCAGATTGATATGGAGCTGTTGTAACCACTGCTGTACAATTCAAGAGATAATACTAATGCATGCATTCTACACAAGACTCATTATTATGTATGCAAGCAGAAATATGGAGCAGCTCTGAGGGAAGCTGTGAGTTTGAAGGAATTAAATGTATTTATTGTTGATGATGCATTCAGTTATACTTTTGATTGTTCACATAGGCTGAGGAGGTCAAACCTCTCAACAATTGAACACAATGGTGTTTTTTAAGATCACAAGAGCAGCTGTGTGGCTGTTATCGAAGCACTTTGGCAAGCCTTCAAAAGATAAATGTAATGGGTGTAAAATCTAATACCACTAAACACAATATAAAGCTGAGGCTGATGGGAATTTCTTTAGTCATAAACCATGTATTGGATAAATTACAATTCGGACTTGATGGACGCATAACTATAAACAAGTCATCCACAAGACTCTGTGTTCTTCTTTTCTGCTGCTGCTTATTAGCGGTTGGCAAACTGCTTTTATTTACATTACCACCACATAATGATGGTAGTAATGTGTTACTTATTAACAAGCACTAGTAATAGAGAAAAGATGTTATAGCCACATAATTACTATTTGGTTTTTATAATTTAAAGACTATTCAAGAAAATCATGACCTATCCCTAAGGAGATCATTGGGCATTTAATTCCTGTGTGTGTGTTTCAGTATCATTCATACAGGGATCAGGGTCAGAACTGAACAGTTAGCAAATAAATGTTCAAACTGTCCAGACTGCGACTTTGTCTCTCCCGACCAATCAGGCTTCACACGTCTGTAGCACACAAACACGTCTTGGCCCTGAAGAGTTTTGAATTCCGTCCTGTTTGATCATGTGAGTCTGCCAGCTCAGTAACGTGCACTGACAGACGCACACAGATGCAGAAATCTGCTGTCAGCATATGCTGGCTGCCCTTGTCCAACATTGACCATTAAATATTGCCCAATCCAATTGTGGACCTGGCTACTGTAACCTTGGCCAGACTGGTATGGCTTTGGCTCTTTGGCTCCCAGCATGCCTCAGTGCCCGAGATAATCTTGGCCTCCAGACAAGAGGGGATTCCAACTCTCTCCTCCTCAGTTGCCCTCCTCCTCTCGCTCTCTCTATCTCTCTCTCACGCTCTGTGTCTCTCTCCCACTGAATGGATTAGATGAGGTGCTGGTTGGAAGCAGTGCATCAGTCAGGCTTCATTAGTATGAATTTATTCATGCCCATATGTCTCCCACCTCTTTCTCTTCTACCCCAAATCCTCCTCTACTCTCCTTACTTTGTTCCTCTTATCCTTTCCTCAATCCCTCCATCCCACCTTTTTCTTCTTTTACTCACCTGCTCCACATCTCCTCATCTGTCTGTCACTCAGCTGCTTGTTTCTCCTGAGGAGCTTTTGCTTGTTTCTCTAAAGTGATTTTTTCCAGAATTTGAAAGGTTTCACTTCAAAAAGCTAAGCATCCGCTCCAGCAGTGGAAAGAATGTCACATTCAGAGGCAGAGATGAGAGCTCTTTGTTTTAAATGTTACATTTCTGCAGAGAATGTGTAGTGAGGTGGGATGTCATTTTGCAATCCTTAATTTTATTATTTGCAGAGACCCTCTAAAAAATGTCATGTTTGCATCAAATCAGTCAATCAATCAAAATTTTTTGTATAGCCCATATTCACTTATCACACCATTCACAATTTGTTTCATCGGTCTTAACAAGATGTGGCTTCCTCTGTCCTTAACCCTCAACAAGAGTTAGGAAAAACTACAAAAAACCCTTTTAACAGGGACAAAACATAGAAGCCTCCGAGAGAGCCACATGTGAGAGATCCCTCTCCCAGGATGGACACAAGTGCAAGTAGCTGAAGACATCAACAAAATCAGAAATAAATTATTTTGAGTATTAAAATAACAATGACCTATTTGTTACACAAGCAATCACACCTCTAACCAATTCTCATCAGGAGGCGGGGTCGAAAAGTGAGAGGAAAACAAGCGTAGCTACTACAAGTATACAGAAACTGCCATGTGAACATATTTGAAATGCCTCTGTGCATTCACCAAGGTTCAGCCGAGAGAAGCATAATGCTTCCAATAACAAGGCAAGAGGTAAAAATATTATCATTAAATCATATAACAGTGTAGACTCATGTCCCACGTATCACCACAACCTGACTGGCTGCATACAACAATTTTAGTAGTTTTTCAAAATCAGTGATATGGCAATCTTACCCACTTCAGGCAGTAAATGGCCCAGGTGGTAAATACAAGTGGCTGTATTTGTTCTTCACAGGACTGTCTCTGTTTCTAGTCATGCTTTTTTTTTGTGTGTTCAAAATCATAAATGGTTTCGGAAAAGAATAATCATCCACTTTTGATCAACAGCAGGTGTTTCATCCTGCCTATGGGAACTTTCTACACACTGGTATTTAGATGTGGTCAAATGATATGTGTCAAAAACGGATTGGTTTCAAGTCATGGCACAAGTAGTTCTTTTCGTTAGGTGTAGGGATTTAACTACCACCGACTAACATCTGGAGCTAAATTCATGCAAAATCTTAACAAACACAACATGTTTTACAAGTTCTCTACCATTCACATACAGAAACACCATTAACAAACTAATACATTTGTTTCACGAATACAAACTGCACCTGGCAAACAAATACACTACATATTTTTACATAAATATAATATAATATTTATATTTTAATTGTAATAAATGCAAAAGGCCATTTGTTTATTTTATTAGAAATATATAGTATATTCGTGATTTAAGCTCCATACAATTGCCTCTGTTAAAGCTACTAATGGGCATAAGTGCCTTTATTGGCACGACTTGGTCTCCACAGTGTCTTTTTTGACTGCTCTCTCCTCTGGTATCACAATCTATGCAATGAGCTTGTTGTTGGTTGTAGTTCAATTAGATTTAATAGGTACAGTGGATGCAGAGAGAAACTAACCCAAATACTGCACTTCTCTCTCTCTCTATTATCAGAATTTGAATAATTACATATAATAAGATCATTTCTCGAGAAAGAGTATGTAGGAAGTTTGCAGGAGGTGGAGTGAGGGACGTTTCATAACTGTAACCATATTTATACATTTTCTGTATACTCTTTAGCCCAGTTATCTTTAACATTAATTAAAAATGTCTTCAGGCTTTTTAAGTCCCCCACCAATAAGTTATAAAACTAGTAGATCAAAGAAAAAGTCACAAGACTGTTAATAAAAGATAGTGATTAAGAATAGCTGTGCAAACTGGATGAAAGTTGAAGCTAATCAGAGGAGGCTCACTCTGTTGATCAGACTGAATATGTTTTAAATTCCATCTTAAATTATTGTCTAGAATCCTTTCCACTACTATTGAACACAATAACTTTCAAACCAGTACAAAGGGGAGACTAGCATAACTATAATTATTTCCTGCACCCTGAAGGAAAACTGGATAACTGCCTTGTTTACGGCTTCTGCAGCTGTCACATTAGATGATGAAACGTTAAAACCAGTCAAAAAATATAAACTGCATAAAGCAAGCAAGTATCAGAGGCAGTATTTCAATGGAATGATAGAACAGAATATTAGTATCAGTAAAATAACTATTTGCGCACAAGATCCTAGCATAGGCCTTGGGCTCCTCCAGATGCTGCAGCCTAAATTGAGGATGAACAGCTGGGAGTAACTTATCATATTCATCAATAGCTATAAAAGTTTCAGATAAGACTTCTGTTGATCAAAGTGTTTACAAATGACACACAACACATTTAAGGGTCCCATATTTTACACTTTTGCTATGTTTTATTTGATGTTTTGATATTGATAAGAAGATTTATTTGCACCAACAACCACCAGAAAGTAGTTTGACATCTAGTTCATGCTTCTCTCTGGAGTTGTAGAGAGGTCAGTTAGCCAATCAGAGCCACTTTCTGACGTAAAGGTAGGCAAACCACAGCGTAGCCTCATGAAACTCAGCAAATGCAAATTGAGATAGTCAGTTCAATAATTGGACAGAAAGTCAAATTCAGACAAAGATTCAATGACTGGTTTGGTGTGGAACTATACAGCTCAGCCTTGCGTCTAGTTCCACTGCAGTTGCCTGGATTATCTGTTGCCATTTGGATGCCCTCCCATGGTGTTGCAGTAACCACGTCCAACGCTCACTCTCCTCAGCTGCAAGATCCTACAGAAAGACTATTAATGTAGCAGAGTGCATTGAGGCCAGCCAGGGGAGCATGCGAGACCACAGAAGTGTTGTCCATCATGGACATTAGGGCGGTAGGAGGTTGGGAAGCTGGGACCGCAAGAGTGGAGTTTAAATTGGATTGATGGGACTGCAGATCAGAGACCAGCAGAATTCAATTCAATGCAATACAGAAATTAAATCAAATTCAGTGATGAAACTAATGAAATTGCATGTCAAATTGAATATATGGAGAACAAATTCTTTCTGATCAAATTTAATTTCAATATGAAATCCTAATGAAGTTTTAAATTAATTTTCATTTTAATTCACTATCAGGATTATCATAAAATTAAATTTTAAAACTTGTATCTAAAATTATGGAATACAGTTTTACCATATTATTATATAATATATTACCATGCACCCCACACAAATATCAACCCACACATATTAGAGAAATCAAACTTAATCTTCAACCATTGACTTTCTGAGAGTTTGGGTGACCTTTGCAATAACATGTTTTTAAGCACTGTAAAATGTACAAAATGCTGAGGTCCCCGCCAGCTGTCACTCACAGTCTCCTCTTTGTCAGGTGGTGGAGAGCGAGGAAGAAGAGGACCTGACACAGATAGAGGAGGAAGGTGATGAGGGCGACCAGTTCGACATCATCCCGCTGTACTCAGAGAGGGCCACTGTCTCCAACCTGGGCTCCTCTGGGACTGGGGTGGCTGCATCCCTCAACACCGGCCCTGCTAAACCCATACTACTGCTCCTTCTGCTCCTTTCTGCATTGTTCAGCTGGGGGTAGAGCGAGGGATAGGGAGAGAACACACACACACACACACACACACACACACACACACACACACACACACACACACACACACATGTAATGGACCCTCCAACAGTCCTGGACTGATTGCTGTAAAATATTCAGAAAAAGTGAAGAAATGGACTTCACCTTTTGTCAGTAGCATCCCCTCACTTCTTCACTCCTGCCCTCATTCCTTCCGTCCCTCCTTTCACAATAGCACTTTGGTCGACATGGTCTGACTGCAGCTGCTGTGGTGTATTCATGTCCTGAGAGCACTGGAGACCTTGCTGTGGCAGGGCCTTCACAAGCTGCCATCAACCAATGAGCATCATGTTGCAGTTCCACACGTAGGTCCAGAAATATTGATTCAACTCTAAAGGTCTGCTCAGTTATCGGCAAGTAAATACCGGCAACGTTAGCTGAGGTGTGTCAGTGGGATGAATCCTGGCTCATAGGCTACATTCTTGTTCTGTCATACAGACAATAACTCAAATAACCCAAACAGTGATGATTTGAATGTCCTGTAATTTATAGATGCGATGTAAGATTTGCCAAAATGTTTTGGGAAAGTGGAAGTTAGGTAAATATGTCACATTAAACTATACAGTTTCTAGACATTTCAATAGAGTAGCAGAAGTAGCCTTAAGTGTGATTATTACTCCTTTCTCATAATATGTGTTTCAATGGTGAATCTACAAAAACTGGAAAGATTTTAAAGTCATACGCTTGAATTTGTTGAATCCATCCTTTGTCCACTACTGTGATGCCGACTGTATTTTTTTAATTTAAAATTCAGTTTTTATCTTTTTACCAATCAAATTGCTACGTTTTCTGTTACAGCTGTTCTGTAAATATGTTGACTTGAGATGCAGCTATCATTATCTATTGTATGTTAACAATGTTATTACAAGGCATTCTCCAAACTTCTTCATTTGGCCATTTGTAAAACTGGTACCCTAAAGTGCAAACAAATGTTGCAAATTCAGCTGATAAGGACACACTGTGTATACGCAATGATTTTATGATGTAGATTAATATTTATGGCTACTCCTTGATCCACCTTCACTACTTTTTAGGAAAAGGAACAGTCAAAACTAGGATGGAGGTCAATTAAGTCCATACCATTCTTTAAGTTCAATCAAGCTGCACTAAATTTCACACACTTATATTAGATCTTTAAAGATGTCAGATTTTTTGCTGTCATTAAAATCCATGAATTATTCGCCAGGCAACTGAAACTACCTGAAACTGGTCAAAAAGTGACACAAATTCCATAATTGCAGTGTTAAAGACAATTCAAGAAGAATCCTGGATTTGACCCCTTGTCTGTATCTGCAGCATAACTGATCCTTGTTTGCCCCTCTCCCCGTGTTTCTTGGAAATCTGTTCAGTCATTTTTGCGTAATATGCAGAGGTAATAATTTCACATCCCCAAACTCTGCCATCTTTGCTAACTAACCTTGTCAGTCAGTCAGCTACACCCACATCCATTCGTTATAGTTCAGCAGAGTGTGGAGCATAATGAATGAAGAGTCACTACAGAAATGATGTGACTGGTGCAGACTTTGTGCTGGGATGTGAATCTCTCACTAATGTAGAAATGCACCACAGCTGCAGTCAGACCTTGTCTTTTGTTTTTTTCAAGGAAATGATTTATATATTTATTTATTTTGACTCACTGATAGATGATGATTTGTCCCCCTGGGTTCGACTCACCTGTATATGGGTCATCGTAACAACAATGGAACAGGGAAGGGAGGCTGATTTATGATGCATCAGTCAAACTTTATCATGGTGATGAATGGAGTGATATTCTCTCCCTGCCGCTGTCCCTACTCTACAGCCATGGTGACTGACAAATTACACACTTGTCTCTTATTGTTTAATGAACATCAAGTGCCAAGTGTGTGATGTGTGTGTTTGTGCACACTGGTACTGGGATCAGGCCGAGAGATTGCAAAGAAAATTGGTTAAAGCTTTTTGTTCTAATTTAAGTCTTGCATGTCATCATTCTCACACACTTCTACACAGCCACACATGAAGTATAGACAGGCACACACACACATTTGCAAACATACTGCCTGCCATGTATTCAGCCGATGCAGCTCTTTCTTGCTTCATTGCTCTATCCCTGTCCCTCTCTACCTCCCTGGTGACTCAGGACCAGGGCCCAAGCTGCCACAGGCACCAATATGAATAAAGCCTTCATAATAAAAACAACACACTAGAAACTATATGAGCTCTAAAATGGCAGAACAAATCAAATAGCTCCCCAGCAGGCAAAAGACACGCGCTACTTCTGACGCCAACAAAGAGACAAAATGCAGCGAGTTAGAGAGAAGGAGCGGGAGAGAGATGTATGGAGGAGAAATTAGGAAAAAAAAACAAGGCCAAGTCCCTGTGTGGTCTTTGTGTGTTTGATGTTTTACTTGTTTATAGTTGGGGGCTCATAATCAGTCCCTGACAACATCTCTTTATCATCTGACGGAGTCCTTGGGGGGAGGGGTGTGTGTGTGTGTTGGGGTGTGGCGGGTTGGTGGAAGTGGGCAGGTTGGGGGGTATCAGGCAATGATAGAAATAATGCAGTATAGAGAGAACAGAAGGGACCCCGGAGCAAAAACACAGCAGAAGGAATCGCCAGCTCTTGATTTTCTGTGTCTTATAAATCTTTTGCTGACACTAATTTTTTCCTCATTCCTTCCCATTTCTGGGGAACGTGTACAATTAACTTCCATCTGCAGGGGAGCCAGTGATGGTGGAGGGCAAGGAGACGAAGAGGAGAGAGGGAAGAGAAAACAGGAGACAGAGCGAACTGAAAGCGAAAAATAGTGATGTGAGGAGAAAATAGGGAAAAGACAAAGGAGGAATTGAAGAAAAGGGAATGGGGTGAAGGGAGAGAAGAATAAGGAGGAAACAAATATATAGATGAGATAGAAGGAAAAGGGAAAAGAGAAAGAAAACAAGATGAGAAAAGAAAGGGGAGTTTGGAAGCAGTGGTGAGGTGAAGAGTGGAAAGGTATAAAAGGAGTAGTGGAAACAAAGAGGGGAGCAACCATTGAAAATTGAAGTAGGAAAGAAGTGGAGAAAGACAAAAAGGACGCAGTCAGGAGAAGGAACAGTAAAGAGTAAAAAGAGGTCTGCTTTGAGAGGCCACTGAGGAAAAACACTACAAAAGAAATGAAAAGATGAGGACAGAGAAAGAGAGAGAGGTGACAGGTCTGCAGTGTACTTTAACCTCCGTTTCTCTTAGACTCTGCTGAGAGACACACACACACACACACTCACTCACATCTCAAAGGTCTTTCTGTCTCAACACACTCAGACAAAACCTGTGTCGATCAGAGAAGCAGTGATAAGAGACAGAGTGAAGCTCTGTGGGCTCTCTCACACTCTGCAGCAAATACTGATGTTCTGTGAGCAGCAGTTTGCTTCAGCGTTAAGTGTAATAAACAACAATCAAGCACCGTGATGTGACAGTGGATCCTGATTATAATGAAACATCCATTCGTTGTAATGACTGTGACACATCGAGTGTTTTCATTAAGCGACACAGGCATTCATGAGGCAGGCACAGGTCACGACAGTTGTACAAAGGTTAAAAGATTACTACCATCACATCATCAGACTTAAACTATTGGTTGTCAAATTCAGCCTCAAAGAAATGTTTGACAGACAAATTCTATATTCATCTTAATGTCAATAAAACCCATGAAAAGACTCAAACTATCTTGTTAACACGTATTTTGTATGTATCCAAAACCACAAACCTTCACACAAAGACACCTGACTGCTGCACTGGACCACATGTTCTTTTATTGCCATTGACATACATGCTGTCTTTTGTTTTGACTCAGTACCCCCACCCCCCATAAACACACACACACCCCATCCTGCTACCACAAATTTTAAAGCATAAAATGTAGATGAGTCAGTTGCCGTCTCCGACAACTGCACTTTTCCCCCTATTTGATTGTTTGGTAAAAACTACAGTGTGCAGCTGCAAAATTACTGAACCTTTAAATGAAATGAAAAAAATACATGTTTAAGAAGTGTCGTTTCAATATGAGAACCAGTGGGCAGAGAGAGTAGTCCATGATGGGTTGTGTCGAACGGAAGACGGCAAGTGCAGGAACTCCGCCTGTGTCCTTAAACTAGAAAGAAGGAATTCTACCAGTTCTGTGAAATAATTCAACTCTACACGTGGTGTACTAATAATCAAAGGCAATATCTCTGCATATATCTACCATCAAAGTTTTAGTCCACCTCCATTTTTCCAGTTTTTATTGAATTTACAGTGTGATATCACAGTGCTTTTAAAACAACTGGAGATTTGAAAAAAAGGATAATTAAATATTTCTATTGAACGGAATTGTAGTAAACGTTTTGACCGACCCAGCACCTGAACACATCCGTGGTGTTCTTCCTCCAATAGAAATTAAATAGAGCTCAAAAGGTTTTCCCAAGACTGTTGCAGACAAATGTGTTGCACTTGTACTCTGCTTTGCTTTCACATCTACTTTCACAGGAGTAAACTCCATGGAGACTGTGCTGCTCTTCCATCCGTCTGTCCGTCTTCATTCATACAGATGTTGTCAGTCAGTTGGGACACCTGCAGGAATAGTTTGAATTACCTTTCAAGGCTTCATTTAAAATGTAACCAGTCGTGTAACAAACCACTAAACTGAAGGTACAGCTGTACCTCCCAGACTGTCACTCCCAACAACCTCAATTAACCACACTGATGTTAGATGGTTAGAGCTGCTCACAGGGGATGTTGCTGATATTGTAAAACAATGTCAGGTGACGTATGGTGTAACATCACGTTACCATAAAAGCTGCAGTTTAGAAATACTCGTGAGCCGATGAAGAAACATTTAGAAAGTCAGGTAAAAGTGACTATTACTAACCGAAGCATGTTTCCAGTGTGATACTGATAAGACATCTGCAATGTGAGCTTAAAGACATTGGTGTTCTACTCCCACACTTTACATGGTTGAGGGTGCGGTTTATAACATTAACAGTTCTTCAGAGGAGTCATACTTGGACCCATGGATGTAGAGTTTTGGACCGGGCGTAGCCACCTTTCAGACGTTTGTTGTTGCGATGATGAATGTCACTTACATTGCAGAGTCTCAGCCCCCCCCCTGCTACAGAGCACTGTCTGCCTGTTTATTTCAAAATGTATTAACATACTCATGTCAGTGCAACAGAAGCCATCAGTGCTCTGCTCTCTCCCTTTCTTCCACACCGCTCACTGCTCTCCTCCACTGACACATGCTGCTGCTCCTGTTGTAGCTGCTGTTTATGTCCCATTTCAAAAGCCCCACTCCTGCATCCACCTGTAGAATCAGAGTCTATTGGTGGCAAGTTCAATTCTATTCTATTTGTACTGCACCAAATGTTAACTTACATTATCTCTGTATTAAGAAGCAAACACTTGAAATGGGGGATAGTTAGGTTCACCCTCCACTCCCTGCTCTGCTAAGCCTCATGTTTCCTTGTGGGGAGTGGGGGGCTGAGTGAACTACATATGAAGTGCACAGTGCCCTGTTCAAAGACAGTAGGAATCTGTGATTATTCCATCAGCTGAGCACTGTCTGTTACAAGGAAATAATCATCTAAATATGACAAAAGCAACATATCATGTCTGGTAAATAATCTCAAAAGGCAATGAGCAGTTCTCTCAGGCTCAACCACCAGCCAATAGTTGGGGTTAATTGAGATCAGCAGGGGAGGGCAGGGGACGGCCCTTTACCGGGCACTATTGTTCATCTTAATTGTTGTCTCAGCTGTTTGTTGTCAGGGCCGGCACTCACTGGCAGGACGACAAGAGGGATGGACAAAAACATAAAGGGAGACAGTGGAGCGAGAGAGAAAGGAGGGAGTGGACAGTGGTGATTTACATTAATATGTACGGAAATAAACAAGTGGAGAAGCCATGCGTTAAATCAACTCAGAGAGAGAGAGAAAGCCTTCAGGGTGAGAGAGGAATAGAATGTGTGTGTATGTGTGCCTTGAAAGAAGCATATTTTTATTGTTCTATTACT